ATCTGTGTGCATATAGTTCTAAACGAGTAAAGAATGCTATATCGTTTACAACTGAAAGTGCGCCCTCCTCCTCCTTTTTATGTTCAGCCTTTCATCATCGGGGTTTAAAGAGGTATTTGCTACAAATTTTACCCAAAACCCGAATGGACACACGCATACACCGATGGTTCATTGGGGGAGCAGAAAAAAAAAAAGGAGGAGCTGGATCGGTAATCATGTTGCAAGATGGGACCACAACAGAACGGCATGCGCCTCCGGAAGACAAAGTTCAGAGCAGAACAGCAAGCAATTTTTGATGCAACAAAGTCTTTGTGACTGCATGTCAGGCTTCCGGGCGACTCAGAGGGATCCCCGAGACAACATGGAGAGAGAACTGACAAGCCGGCCAAACAGACTCATAGAAAGCAACAAAATCGTTCTTGAGTGGATCCCAGCACACTGGGGCATACAAGGAAATGAGTTAGCAGATAGACTTGCAAAAAATGGAACTAAAGAGAAACAACACTCATTCATTGTCATTACCAGAAATGAAAACACTCATCAAGGGAAAATACAAAGAATGGTGGAGAGAACAAACCAACAGCAAACATCCACAAGATCCCATCAGCAGTCTCAATAGAAAACAACATCCAACAATTTTCCGTCATGGAACAGGACACTCCAGGCGCAACTACCACATGCATAAAATGAAGATTGTACAGTCCCCACGGTGTGCATGTCAGACAGGACCACAAACACCTGAGCACATTCTGAAGACCTGCCCACTCTACTTACAACTTCGAAAATACACCTGGCCTCATGAGCAAAATGTGCAGAGCAAGCTATGGGGAACCATAAAGGTCCAGCTGCGGACATGCGACAACCCACCTGATGGTCTGATTTCAGCATACGAAACCAAACGCAAAGAAAAAGAAGAAGAAGAAGAAGAAGAAGAAGAAGAAGAAGGAAAAGAAAAGAAGAAGAAGAAGAAAAAGACACATTTGCTTGTGTTCGAGGTAAGCACGAGTGCAGTGGAGATGGTGGAGGAAAAAAACCAACACAGCCATGAGGATGTGGATCGGAGCGCCGCCTTGTCTGACCGATGAAGCTTTATATTGGAAGTAGGCTGAGCTGGTAAAAAAAACAACACAGCCATGAGGAAGTGGATCGGAGTGCCGCCTTGTCTGACCGATGAGGCTTTATATTGGAAGTAGGCTGAGCTGGTGCTTCCGTTCAAATCAATAACTGAAGAGTTTAAAGTCGGCAAGGTCAAACTCGCGATGATGCTGCGCGAGTTTTTAGACACAACAGTGGCTGCTGACCAGCACCCTGTAAAGAAAGAAGGTCGAAGATGCAATGAAATCTGCTCAGAAAGCACTGAAATCGAAAGAAGTCATGGGTTTAACATGAACCGACCGACGCATCTTAGGGCAAGGAAAAGTCACTTGGTAGTCCAAAGCCTCGGCCAAAGAACGCTGAGAAATAATGATAACACAGCAGATAAGAGAAACCGAAAACGAGTTATGGGTCAAAAAGCAGCACAGCAGTCGCAGCAAGGCCAGGGGATTGGCCTCAAGAGCGCCTAGCCACAAATATTCACACGCGGTGAGATCTTGCGATTGATCCCGCTGCGGCTAACACGATGTGTTACCCTCTGACACCAATATAGCCAAATGACTGGCGACCACTGACCCGACATGGTCCCTATGCAGAGCTAAGCAGACGCTCGAGCACGTATTGTCCGCTTGCAAAATAGCTCTAGGCCAGGGGCGATATACATGTCCCCACAAAAAATTCGCCCCAAAAGAGCTAGCAAACATTGCGGATAAAGCCAGGATGAGGGCCAACGCAAGGGCCAGTTCTAACGCTCACCCCTCTCCATGCGCTTATTCAAGGCTGGGCAAATTTCTAAAGGCAAATTCAACAATGTCGCATACGCTTCATCGATACTTGACTGTGCGGGGGACTGGATGCTGCCAGCGACCTGCCTGGTTTTGAGAAATTCCCCGAGGCAATCCGAAAGACAGGCCTGATACCAGACACTATTTTGCACTCCGCGGCAGAATGCTAGCTCATCCTTATAGAGCTTCGCCTGCCGTAATGTTTAAGGATGGAAGAAAATCACTGGTACAAGCTCGAAAAGTACAGTGAATTGGTGGCCAGTCTGAGGAGAGTTGAGGCGTACACCGTAGAACTCTTCGCCGTCGAGGTAGGCGCTAGACGACTCATCTCCACATATAATGTACTAAAGCCTCTTTGGCTTTCGAGGCAAAGAGCGTAAACGGGCACTAAAATAATTGGCCTAAGCTTCAGAAAGGGCTTCATACTGGCTGTGGACGCAACGGAATGTAGTGAGGGATAGACCTTGGTAGACTGGTCCGAGTCCCTCGTGGAAAGGAACTTTACATCTCTTTAAAGCCACAGTGTCCAAATGAAGTCTGATAGTGTCTCTCTGTAATTGCCAACGTTTAACGTACGTCCGATGAAGGAACCATAAGCTTGTTACTCTGGTGGGCGTTTAATTTGCTACAGCAGAGACAATATATATATATACCTCAAACATCACGATACCTGTTGAAAAGCCACAATTTTGTCTTGTCTAATAAAGCGCAACAGATGTTCGAGGCCTGGCGACATGAATCAGGTCGGCCCAGCCTCTGAAAATGTATAGGAGGTTGATGGGCAGAAACAATTGTCGATGAGGGATCCTTTTACCGATGATCGGTGAACTCCTGCAGTGCATGCTCCTTTATGGAGTTCTTCTTCCTCTTCTTCCTCTTCTTCTTCTTCTTCTTCTTCTTCTTCTTCTTCTTCTTCTTCTTCTTCTTCTTCTTCTTCTTCTTCTTTTTCTTCTTCTTCTTCTTTGCTGCCTATCGGGTGTTTTAATGCGCAGTACTGTGTGCTGACTTCAAGAAGTGGTAGTCTTTCTCCTCAAGTTCATGTTTTGTGGCACACTGGTAATTTTTTATGCTCACGGGAATATTTCAGGCGTACTGCCAGTAAGCCTTTAGTAAAAGATTGGCAAGCCAAATTAACTCCTTTTGCAAAATCAAATTCGCCCTTAGGTGAATTAAACTAACCTTTTTGCACAACAAATGCGATATTTTCGAGGGTTAGCCTGAATTGAAAAAAAAAAAAAAAGGTTAAATTGGTTATTTTTAAGGTGAATTAGATTTGCAACGGCTTACCAATTTTATGTATAAATGTTCGTTTATATCAAATCGAGCATAATCATGTTTTTCTTCCTCTACATCCACACTCCTTCCCACTTCATGCGGGCACCACGTACCCCAGGTTATCTCTTACAATGAAGTGCTTGCAAAAAAAGTTATCTATGAAAGTCGGCATCTTTGTGACATCTCCAATAAGTTTTTTTTTTAGCTGCCCTTAGCGTTCTCGTCATTTCTAGAAAACTACAAATCTGAACCTTCCATTTAGTTTCTCGCTAATGGTTCACCCTTAACATTAGGACTGGCATTCTATAGCCCTTGAAAACTGTCACATCAGCTGACAAAGACATATTGCATAGAATATTCTTCCTCATCTGTCAACACGCCAATGAGACAGGCGACACAGTCATTGAATGATGTCAGAACAAACTACCTGTTTAGGTGATGTTAAAGAGATTTTAGTGTCCATTTTTTAAGCTCCAAATATTTTTGATGAGCCTTTATAATAAAACTGTTACTAACATCTCGACAAAAACTACACAATACTATTTTCTTTCTGTAACAGCACATAGATGCGGTTCTAGTCTTGCCAGAACGAAGACTTTCCAAAACGAAAAAGAACCTGCGATGTCCTAAAATAATCCATTAAAGAAAAAATCATTTGTGGTTTGTGCATCAACGTTAACATACCACACTGGGCTTTTGTGTGTGTGGATCTGACAAATACTGCTATGGTGGATATCTAATCTGATGACACTGGACAACAGCTGTTTGACGCCGAAAGTGAGTGCGTTCATATAAAGTCGTGAGAAATATTATACAATGGGACATCACAGATTATGGAGTAACAATAAATTAGGCTACTTATATTCGTGCATGCGTCTGTATGTGTTTGACTCGTCTGGTTTATGTGGTCATTGGTTCTGATTCTCTGAAACCAAGGATCCGCGCCTCTAATGGCATCTCCGTGGAAATATCAGTTTCCCAGTTGTCCGTTGCAGTCGTTGTCATCAATTAAAGGACAAATCAAGTGTATAGACAGACACACCAGGGTAATAGTGCAGTGTACATAGGAATAGAATGATGGCTTGTCATTTATTCGCTAGCGTGTCATATCCTATGTGTATAATGGAATCAACATCGCATCGGGTTTGTGTGTGTATGTGTGTGCACGCGTGTGTGTGTGTGTGCCTTCGACAAAGTTTCTTGTCAAACTGGACAAAAGCTTTATTATTGCACTCCTGTGAGGTTTGCAGCGTAGGCAACTGCTTGTTCCTCACCATAATGTAGCACCAGTCCTATGTTTCTTTTGTAAATTCGAAATAATAATTTCTCTCATTGACAGACGTTAGTACATTCTGATTTCTGACATAGTAAGTGCAGTCATCCATGTTCACATAGTGAGTGCAGCAATCCATGTTCACAAAGTAAATGCAGCAATCCATGTTCACATAAAAAGTGCAGTAATCCATGTTCACATATAAATGCAGCAATCCATGTTCACATAGTAAATACAGCAATCCATGTTCACATAGTAAATGCAGCAATCCATGTTCACATAGCAAATGCAGCAATCCATGTTCAGATAGTAAATGCAGCAATCCATGTTCACATAGTAAATGCAGCAATCCATGTTCACATAGCAAATGCAGCAATCCATGTTCACATAGCAAATGCAGCAATCCATGTTCGGATAGTAAATGCAGCAATCCATGTTCAGATAGTAAATGCAGCAATCCATGTTCAGATAGTAAATGCAGCAATCCATGTTCAGATAGTAAATGCAGCAATCCATGTTCACATAGCAAATGCAGCAATCCATGTTCACATAGTAAATGCAGCAATCCATGTTCACACACATGTGGCAGAGGTTCCATTGTAGTGGCTGCTTTTAGACACAGACATGTATGCCTTGTCGTGGTGGCTCCTGTTACTTGCACTCGTACACTGTTTTGGACATAAGAGTTCATGCACCTTATCCCTGAAGTGCTTGCCGGTTGCATAGTAGATGAAAAAATAGCAGGCAGAGTTTGAAAGGGTAATTTCTGCAAGAAAATTCCTGATGGTTATATAGAAGAAATGTCTTTGCCAATCTGGGTCTTTCCAGACAGCCTCTAACTGAATGGGAAATTCTCCTATAGGGAACTGTTTGCTCATTGAATATACTATAGTGTAAGGAAGCCATGTGCATATAAGAAAGAAGGAAACGCTGAGAAGGGTAACTGTGGATGCTTGACTACCTCCACTGGCACCAATATGGGCTGGACCGCTACTCGTCAAACTTCGGATCTCACGAATGACAAGGATGTTAAAGATGAGAGCAGCCAGCGGAGCTACGCCAAAGAGCAATAACTCGGTGAACCAGGTCCATATTTCAATGAAGGACGAATGGTACAATTCTGGTCGGTGATTGCAGATCTGCTTATTCTCGTCGTATGTCCAGAAATATGCCTGTAGCGTGCTGATGAGAATGCAGAACACTAGCAAGCAGACGACCACTAGGCCTGCCCTCCAAACCGTGCAGTATCTCTCTTTAGCAAAGGGATGACAAACCGCGATATACCGCTCAACTGTGAATCCTAAGACCAGCAATGGAGCCAAGTACTGAGGTATGCAAAACACCATATTGAAAATCTCGCAGGAAATATATCCGTCGTATGTCCTGATCCCCCAGGCATATCGCAGTTCTTGAAGTATGTGCAAAAGTAGGAACACCACATGGGATATGGACAAGGCGCCCAGGTAGATAGCAGAAGAATTGTTAGCGCGAGTTTTGCGATGTAGCCAGATGTAAGCACATAGTGGGTTGGCTGGAAGTCCAATGATGTAGAACACAGGGGTTACAACTCTGTCTATTGTCACCGACAGCGAGTGATTGGCGTAGATTTCAGATATATCTGGGTACGTGATAGTCACATTCGGCTGGACACTGGAGTTATCCATCGCTCTGAAACGAAACAAATATCGATTATCTTAAAAACATTATAAAAATATAAAAATATTAACCCCCCCCCCCCCCCCCCCCCCCCCCCCCCCCCCCCCCCCCCCCCCCCCCACCCCACCCCCCCCCCCCCCCCAAAAAAAAAAAAAAGTCCAGAAGTTGAAAAACAACCGTAACATTCTAACAGAGTGAACACCAGTGAACACGAAGAAGATAATTAACATAATTTCAGTGTCTTAAGACTCGTTGGGACGTAAGCGATATAAATTTATAGTCTCTCGGCAAACATTATGTGGTTAGTTTGACGTTAGTCTCCCCAAATAGAGTAGGTCACTTTTCATTATAAGTGTTTTTGGGCTGGACGACTTTCCTGAAGGTTACGGTTGTGTGCCGCTATGTTGCTTTCTTTGGTGTCTTGCATTTACGTTATTATTCCAAAAAAGAGAATTTCTGTGACTTAGGTTGCAGCAATCTCTAGAAGGGTTGTGTTGGAGACAATTTCCTCATGTTTTTAGAACGTGCTGAAATATGCAACAGGCGATATCAATGGTATGTGGAGCATCCCCCGTAACATTGTGCTATGGAAACACGGGGCTCATGAACTACCAATCAGAAGTCAGCTATTGTGTTAGGGTGGGGTCTGGGGAGACTAACATCAGTTTTACCAATTATGTCACACTGACAATATCACGTCAGCCGACTTTACCTTCCCTACGTCCATCAAGTCTTTACGTCTAAAAACTTAGGCGTTGCTAACTTCTTTCTTTTGTCAAAATCTGCTTGTGCCGCTAGGCGTCGCAGTCTATCAGATGATCGGCAACCGAGCCAGGGCGCGCTCAGTCGCTTCATATGCCGTGATGTTATGAAGTCTCAAGTTGTCCGTGACTCCTTTAATCCATCTTCTTCTTGGTCTTCCCCTGCCTCTTGTTGTTTCGATTTTCATGTTGTATGCTCTTGATGCTGGCATCGTTGGCTGCTAACGCCCTTGGTAATTCCGGGTTTCTGTAGGCACGCTACTGTTCCATTATTATTTTCCTGTATGCTAGAATTAACGTGACGTGCAGCAGCGGTGGTGTAGAGGCTAGACACTCACCTCCGGGTCTGAAGGTCGTGGGGAGTTCAAATCCAAATTTAAAACAATAAAAAAAAATTACTTTAGCTCCCAGGTAGAGCCATAATTAAATGGGTACTAGGTAAAGACCTGGAAAGTAAAGGCAGTCTGCATGACTGCATGATGCTGACTATAAACCAAGCAAGTGGAGACTGGTTTATTGAAAAAAAGGGCCTATTTGCCAAATTCACCTGAAAAAAAATGTGGGGCGGGGGGGGGGGGGGGGGGGGGGGGGGAAAAAAAAAAAAAAAAAGGGGGGGGGAGGGGTCTTAGAAAATGTGACGCTACCCCTTCCTTTGTTGTCAGGATCTTTCAGAGACAGTGCGGTCAGCTCACTGGCTATAAATGACGTAGGTAGGTTAACCAGCAATTTTTTGGTACCAGATACGTTTCAGTGAAGAAAACATTAGGGCAATGAGGGGAGGGGGGGCGGTTGGGGGGGGGGGGGTGGGGGGGGGGGGGGGGTGGGGGGGGGCAAAGGGAGATTTTTCTTGGAAGAGGGAGGATATAAGGGATAACCATTGTTTAACTCCACAGTAATAATAATTATTATTGCTGTAACATTATTGCTGTCTTATTATTATTGAGTACTGAACGGCTAAAATATAATAATAATATATTTGAAATAATATAAAATGTATGAAGGAATGTTCCAAAAGAGGGCTTCTTTAGATTGTGGGAAAGGGGGAGGGGAGGCGGGGCGGGCTTTGCTTAAAAAACAAACTGGGGGAGGGTTAGAGGTATGGGGGAGGGAGGGGGGGGGGGCTTAGCTGAGGGCCCAAGGTGCCGGTGTTATGTACTGCACAGAAATGAGAGTTTACCTTTAGGCAGTGCGTTCTCTCATATCAAAAACTGGAAAAGTAGTTAGTAAATGACAATGTCTATTCTAGTGGCGCATGGGGCAAATAATGCGAAAGTCATACTTTCAAAAATCAGGTAAGCTCGGCAGGTCATGCATTTGGAAGGCTTGACTAGTTAGAATTGCCATGCTTTATTGTTTTTGTTGTATTGTTGTTGTTGTCAGAGGTAGAATTCCCATGTCTTCTCTTTTCTATGTTGTCGTGGTGTTTGATCCGTACTCATTTCCGGGTATCTGTTTTGGTAAGTGACCATCTGAAACTTCACTAGAAAGTAAATACGGCTGGCGTGCTGCACACCGCATGACCCCCCAGTTGCAATTGCTCTGCAAAAAATAAGTCTCAATATTTGTCCCATACGCCTGAAGATGTGATAACGGATCCCTTAATTTACTTTTACACCTGGCACTTTATTGAAAACGCACGTGTCACTTTTGATATCAGCGACCCCAGTTTGAGCACCTGCCATTTAGATTTACATGACCTACTTTATTTATGTTGTAAAGTGTGTTGTCTGAATTCTGCATCTTTCTTGCCATCTTTCTGAATGTCAAATCACAGAGAAGTAAAAACTGAATACAGGAGGGAGATGAATGGTCGTAGAGTACGAGGCCTACCAAGAAGACGATGGAGAAATAAAGTTCAGGCAGACCTGCAAACACTTGGTGTTATCAACTGGAAAGAGAAGGCCAACCAGAGAGATGAATGGAAGCGGGTGATATCTGCAGTTATGAACCTTAATGGCTCGGAATGCCGAGGAAGTAGAAGAATTGGCCCATATGGCTCTATCTTCTCTACAGAGAAGATGTTTGTCCATCGTGATCGTCGCGTTTAACACATCTATGATGTGGACTCCCAGCGATCTCGGAAAAACGTAAGCTCGAAATCACACACCGAACATGCGACTTACAACCGTAGGTAAACAGCCTAACATCGTCGCCACAGTATTTATGGAAATCATTCTTGGTAAGCTGTGACCATATATGGTCAGATTTTTCAGTTATGAAATCATAAACTGGAATCTATAATACAAAAACAAATCAGCACACTAACTAAAATACGGTCGCGACTGTGTGAACAGTAACTGATAAAACGGAACAATTACCATTCTAATAATTTATCACATGGAAACAGCAGTGTACGAAATATCATTCTTCCCTCACATGGACGACATAGCTGAATGTATCGGAATAAGCTCCTCCGCTAGATCACACCAGAGAGACAGATGAAACTAATAACAACGCTGAAACTGGTTTAGTTAAATATATAGCAGGCAAGTGTATCCATCGATTAAACCGTAAAAATGAAAACGTTAGAAACGATTACCAACAGTGATGCGGCCATGTTCGACTATGCATTCAATGTTACAGGTGCGGGGGTGTAACATGGCATAAGCCCAGCCTTCAGTTAAAGAGTCAATATTATTTGGCAGCCCTCATAGTGTGGGTCCCGCGACCCAGTTATGGGGGAGTGGGGGAGTGGGGGGGGGGGGACCCACTCCTAAAAAAGTTGACAATTACTGCCTTTATTTCTTTATTTACCACTTCTGCGGTGTAGGCCGTGGGTCTTTGAGCCTGGGGATTTAGCATGGCTAGTGCTGTCGTCAGGGACTGTGAAGAATATTATTTTTGTGTGTTTCTAACAAATTTTTTTTTTCAATATATCTGAGGATTTGAACCTAGGTTTCCCACACCAGAGGGGGGTGCCTTTGAGCCTGAGGATAAAGGGCGCATGACAAGTGCTGTTGCCATGGACTGTGCAGGTTAGGATTTTTTGTGTGTTTACGATGAAAAAAAAAAATCCACAACATAACCGAAGTTTCGAACCTGGGTTTTCCGGACAAGTTGCCAGCGTTCTCAACCGTTCGGCCAGCCGTCCCTCAACTACAGAATACTCAAAAGTAAAATGGACTAATTGGGAGCATTCCTTTGGAGCCTGAGTGTATCTTTCTGAGAGGCAAGGAACTAAGAGTTTGCATACAAATGAGTCAAACTAAAATGGATGTACAGGCAATGATCGGATTCGGGACGAACAACGAAGCTTTGTCCTCCGAAGTTTACAGACGTTGAAGACAAAGAAGAAGAAGATTTTTCATACCTTAGTTATCCCTTCGTGGGATGCAATTTTTGGGTTATTTTTAAGCCCTACCATGGCTCTTGCTAGGTGACGCAATATAGCCCGGCCATTACGGCCTAATGGCTGAACGTTTATCGCTTGTGTCATGTCCTAGTAGGGTAAAAGTACTACTACTAGAAGAATTTGACAGCCTGAATGAAAGGGAGATAAACAATTAACTGACATTTCACTAAAAATTTCACACACAAACTCAGTGAGCTGTAATAAACATAACAACATCAGTAATAATGATGACAGCTTGGAAAATAGTGGACATTTTATTCGTAATAATTTTCCATGCTTAGTTTTATATTTCTTTTTATTTCTTGTTTGATAAAAAATTTTGATTACCGGTTACTGATGACAAAATGGACAACGTAGAACACCGCCAAACTCATAGATGCTCTCAATTATATTGCCATCCCTTTCTGGAATGTAATTTTTCGTTATTTGAAACCCTATTCTGTTCTTGCCAGGGGCCGCAATATAGCCCAGCCATAAATATGGTCTAATGGTTGAACGCGGTTTCTAAGACCTCTCCACGGGTGATCCTCATCCATATGGTGGCACTTTGTGTCATCGGGTGTTATCGCTTATATGATGTCCTGGTGGGGAAAAATTAAAAAAAAAATAGATGCTCTGTCTCTCACAGCAAATATCGAAAGGTGTAGATGCTAACGGTTTCCCTAGCACACTGATTAAATATAGTCCTCAACCTCTCATAGGTCCCTCCTCGACGGATCAACGCTTATCTCCTCGTTCACAGATCCTTGCACATGTTATTTCAAATAATCTCGTGTCTTATTTTAGCATTAGCCCATAAATGGTCTTCAGAATGTTTTCTTAGTCCATCGGGAGTGTTCCCATATCTATCGCATTTGTAACTAGAAAAATCGCTCTTTTCCTGCCTCGCACTCCT